ATCCAACAGTTATTTTGCAAATGTCTTAGTGCAGTCAGAACACCATGATCGTAAGACGTGTCGAGCACAATTCAAAGGCATTTTGAGCGCGAAAAAAAGAAAGAAAAAACGGACGAGAACAATAATACAGACTCCGTAGTTGTTTGCAAACTGAAATAAAGAATAAATCCACGAAGAAAATAGACAGTATTTTTGGGGGGAATCCGTTGTGACAATGCAAATGGATTTGGGGAAGTAAAAGACAGAATACCCAATGCGAGAAAACGACTATTTTACAATTAACAAAGGTGGTCAGCAGTAAAAGTTTGTAAGCAACCGTACCATAAATGAATTGTGATAGTCTAACTGCTTCCAAATCTACACGCATCAAGGCGTTTGATATTTACCAGCGTAGGATGGTCAGGTGGCATGGAACAATCGAGACCAGGAGTGTGTGGTACAAATGATCGAAAGATTCAATTGTGCTGCACCTTTCCCGTAAAACAGACGACTGAAACGCGACAAATAGAGCCATGAAGAAAGTGCACTTCGACGTAGTATCAGGATTAGTGCACTTCTGTGACCAAACAACCCACACACGATTATATTAAACCTAAAATCGAATCACTTCTGAAAGATCGAAGTTTTCAAGTTAGGTCTTTTGGTCCTCCAGGTGGGGGGTTGCTATTAGTTAGTACATCAGTTCGATTAAATGAGTCTTCACTTCGCCTTGCGCTTGGGTCAAAAATAAAGGTTTTGGGATCAAATACCTTGGTGTTGTTTTCAACCGTGAACTCACCTAGTCTGACTACATCAACGAGGTTTTTCTGAAAGTCAGGAGGCTCACGTTTTATGTTTTATGTCTTAAATCACTTTCTATCCCAAATCACCTTATAAGGCTTTTTTTGCTTGCGTTTTGCCCCACTGGCTTTATGGATCCCCTGTTATCTTCCCATGTCTTTTTAACAAGGACCTCAAACTCCTTTCCCGATCCCTCAAGTTTCTGTCAGCGATTCCTTGACTTGACTTGACTTACTTAGCAGATCCGTTGCCTTGCCCGTTCACAAAGACGCAATGACCACACGGATCAAAAGTAACTTCATATCGCATCGATCGTCGATCGTGCAGAATAATCACGACCGTGTTGCCCAATGTAGCAAGAGGAGTGGGCTACTGCTCAAACACTCATTGACTTTTTTCATTTTTTACCTTCTGCCAACATTCAACTACTGCCTTTAACTCACGTTTTAGTTCGTAAACTCCTATCGGAGAACTCGTCAGTGGTTGTTGCCTAATGGCACCGTCAGTAAAGTACCGCTGACTAAACTGAGGATTCTGAATCTCTGTCAACCTCTGACTCTACACCTTTTCCCATTAAGCATTAGCCGAAACCCGCAGTCCTTTAGCCTCGATCCACATTCCTTTAGCCAAAACCTGCAACGCCCCGGCCACGACCCGTAGTCCTACAGCCTCGATGCACAAACCTTATTCACGTCGAGGTAGGCAAGTCAGATCAAAACGCATCTGAATATTCTGAAGTTAAAGGATGTTGAAAAATTGTTCCCTGCAAATGATGAAGTTGCAAAGCTTAGTTAAGAAATAAGGTGTAGGGGTCGCAGGCTGCACTACATGCTGACTGGAGAATATTTAATCGATGTGCTTGTATCGTCCAACCACTTGGTACATCTCGTACAGCTTCAGTGTCTCTGTATAACATACGATAGTTCTGTGAGTAAAAATCTCAAGTGCAACACAAACGGTACATTGTTTTACATTCACAAGTGAACTCTTAATGCAGTTTGGTGCTTATAGAGCGAGTGGGCAAACAACACGGAGTTAAGCCGTTGTGACAGTGTCTTAGAGGAACGTGTATTTTCACGTCGAATATTTTGTTATTACACGAAAGCGAATACAGTAAAAGGGGTAAAACCCATGATCCGAATATATACTGCAAATGAGAAGGTATGGGGGACATTCAAGCTAGAACCAGCTTGTTGATTCTGAGTTTAAAAACAATGATGTACGTTGTACGTTGGAGGGAAGACCGAAAGGGGGTGTTCCACAGTTGTGCTGTTCTTGGGAAAAAGGCTGATTGAAAGTCAGAAATGCGGGAGCTGGAGATAGTCACTTTAAATGGGTGGCTATCCGCTTGTGCGCGGGATCTACGAGGAAAAACAAGCGGGAGAGGGACAGAAAGTTTATCGGAGCAAAATCCAAAGTAGTATCGATAAAACAAGGATAAAGAAGTGACTGCTCGAAGGTGAGCTAGTGACTGCAAGTTGGATGTTAGGGACGGGCCGTTGATAAGACGGATGGTCTGACGTTGAACCCGATCAAGAAGAGAGAGGTGGCCGAAGCTCCACTCCGCACATGACTGCAGTATTCAACTGTAGGGTGAACCTGAGCTTTGTAAAGCGAGAGGAGGTGACTGCGGGTAAAGAAACGTCTGGCGCGGAAGAGGAAGCCGATTTTGCGCGCAACGAGGGAAACAAGTAGATAAATATAAGGTGGCCATTAAGGAGACGAAGATAAGGAAAGACCCAATAGGTCTCATGATTCTGTGGAACGGAGTGTTCCAGTTGAAATTCAAGGAAGGGGAGAAAGATGCGTGTTTAAGAAAAATGGACATAAGGGAAGTTTTACTGGCATTGAACGAAATTGGAATGAGTACGCTTCGCTGGTTATTGTGCGTGTCCAGTTGTCGCGTGCCACACAGCGCCCGATTCGCTGCTGTTGCTCTGGGTTATAAGGGATCACGTGAAGCTCAATAGATGATGTAGAGGCGAAGCACGAAGAAATGCATAGGACATTAGGTAGGTTAGGTACCTCCAGTTTCAGTTTCAGTTTCAGTTTTACAACCATTAACCATGCACTTTCGTGCGCCGGTTTTGGTTGTTGTCTTTTGGTTGCCCATTTGGATAAAATAGGGAAATGAAGATTGGAATGTCGAGGCAAATTCAAGCGGAAGATGGGGAATACATATAGAGTGAGATGGTACCTCCAGTCTTCCCGATTGGGGTCCAACAGAACCAGGTCACAATGTGTGAAAAGTTATTTCTGCATAGTTAAACTGTATGGCCTGCATGCTGACCGTGGAGGTGTACTCCCCCTCTCTCTCTCTTTCGAGAGAGAGAGAAATAGACTGATTCTTCTAACACTTTAAATATTCTTACTTTGCATTCCTTGTGAAGCGATGAGCAAAGTTCACTTCACTTCACTGCATTTCGATCTAGGATGACGATGCTGCTAAAGGAGAGATATCCGTTCCACGGTGGAACCAAAATTAACGTCTTCTTGGATTTAAAAATCCGGACATGTGCTAACTACCTTAAAAAAAAACTTGAACCACGATGGATATTCGGTGTTAAGTGAAACCCTACTGGTTCCGATTCGAAATTTCATTCATGTCTTCGAGAACAAGTTGCACCATGTTGAACAGATGCAAGTAGTGAAACATCGCCGGTATGCAATGACGAATGCGCAAACCTTGCACCCCACACGCCACCGCGATTAGGTACAAAAAATCTCACAACACGAATAGCGGTATGCATGGTGGTCGAAAAGACACGTGAAATGTTTGTTTTATAGTGTGTGCCCGTGCGCGAATAGAATTTGATTAGCTAAACATTTAGATAAGGTATTCAGAAAGACGCCAGTATCGTCAATCGATCACACAAAGCAAGAACTGTACACACAGAGATCGGCATCATAAAATCAACTGATATCGTTAACGAATTCTGAGAGCCCGTTCAGTTCGGCAGCCAAACAATTGAACTGATTTGAAAGGCTCGTACTATCTTGGGCAGGGTCCATCGTACACACACTACAGTGGGAGAAAAAAACAGAACCCAGGAAGCAGTTATTTCAATTGTGTTCGATAGCACCCACAAAGTGCACTTGTCAACACAAGTATCAATCGACTGCAGAATATTGCAGGAAGAACAGAAGTGAAGTAATCAATAAAAGTTATAACTGATAAAGTTCTCCCTACCCAATGAAATAGAGAGGTTCGTTAACGATATCGGCTTCATTTATAGCTCGGATTGAGTAGCTTTGTGTTCCCCTGTCAAGCACCGTAAGCCGCTAAACACCAAGGGGAAAAAGCGGCAGAACCTATCCAGTCTTCCTTCAAAAACTACCAAAGCATCTAATTTCGAGCTCAAAAATCAAGGTCCCTTCTGTAGCTGCAAACTTGTATGATATCAATAATATAACCGGGGTGATCCATTTGCTGCACAGAACAGCCTGATGATAGATGGTCTGCAGATCGCAATCAATCACCAGAAAATCAATTCGTTTTCTGAATGCCGTTGCTAGTTAAAAAGTTTTATCTCGTAGTTCTAACTGCTTTAACTTTCCAAACAATTCAAAGGGTTAAATTTAAACTCAGTTTCTTGTGAGTTTGGCTGTGGGATCAATGTTGTCGGTTTTAGCCGATCATCCTTCAGATTTCATAGTCACAAACAAAACCCTCAGTTAATCCCGGGTGACGATGAACCGATGAGTGTAAGCGAAGATCGAAATTCGAAAGGATTATCGATCAAAACGTAAAATTTGAAAATTATTAATGAATGAAACACGACTCACATCGAAGATTTACTACTTTCTTTCCATTGACAGTTCAATGTGATCTGTGGCAAGAAACAGCTAAACAGACGTTTGATCATAATCATCATCATCATAGATCGATTAGGTTGGAGGAGTGGATACACCTTCCCATAGGTGCCTGGTGGGTGAAAAAACGGATCAGAATGTTTTGTCAGTGCCCAAGAGTTGAGTTTCACGGGACCTGGAACACACTGGATATGATAACTCAAGTTCGAATACCTGTCTCATTTCGTCAATCTCTTATTCATGTCTAAGAGAAATTAACTAAGATTACATAAAAAGGACCTTGTAATGTCCTTGGTCATACACACACACATATGCGATTGTTACTTTCTTATCTTACTGATTACTGACCGCATCGACCGTGAAACATTACGTGTTAGACCTTTTACCCACTAATTCGCTATGATGACTTAGTCAATCAGACCGACCGAGGTTGGTATGCACCAAAGAAATTGGTTCCCAACTGTGTCTGTTACTTTAACCACAACAGTTTCACAGACGCGCAAACAGTGAGCCAAATTTTTCACATTAAAGTCAGATGAGAGTAAGTTGAGTTCAGCGCTCTGAGTAGGCAAATCAACTAGTTTGACAGTCAATCGTGCACTTACCAAAGGTACAGCTGTGGAACGCACAATGCGTAAACACGATCCCACCAGGCTCATGCGCAAAACCGTTTCTAACTGGTTGGTGAGACTGGAATTGGCCGCTGGCGTATCCTTTGCCTGGGAAGCTATGCGTGGCCAATCTAACATTGGTTTGGCATAACCTAGCCAGAGTGCGTGAAGTTTTGAGCACAGGAAAGCAGGTACCTCACGTGAGCTTTCAGGACAGGCCCTCAAGGTTACAGCAGTCCGTGTTCGTACATTTACGGCTCGNTTTGGATCGGATAAGGCGTGTGTCACCCTTAATCGGACGACGTCTTTTTGGTTGTTGGGGTCGCACAAGACGTGTGGATTGAGGAATCAGGGTGAGATTGTGATTAGTTGAACTTCCATTCCCACCCGGTTGCAAAGCCAAATCCGCTTGCGATCTTCTCCCCGGATCCACGTGGCGTCGAACAAACTGACGCACAAAATCACTGACAGCCACGGTTCCATCAGCCGTTTCGTCGGGTTTTATTTGGCTGCTGGATTGCGGGCGACCAGACATGGGCTGAAATAGTACAGAACGAGACGAAAAAAGTATTTATCTAAAGATGATATGTTCGGAGGAAACAAAGTGCGCCAATTCGACGAAGTGTGGAAATGCCGTTGGGAACCATGTGTGTTGAAAGAATAAAGTGACACGAGCATCACCTGTGAGGGGAAATAGGCTAGGAGAAATATAGCACAAAACACCAAAAGCTTTTGAAAACTTTGAAAAAAATACCAGTGAAGGAGCACACCCCGTAATTAAGGAACAATGGTACATTACAAGTGTGTAGACACTTGACTCGGATTCGCGAAATCACACCAAGATAAATCGAAAGCTATCTAAATTGACCCTTATAAAAGAGACAGCAGAGTGACGCCAGAATCGGCCCATCGTACCGCCTTAGGATGTGGAACGGATATGAAACAGTTGCCTGTGGCCTGGTGGTCGACTGTTATGCTTTTGCATCAATATACTAGTAAAAATGAGGGGGTTTGTTGCCATTTATGGATTTCCCCGTCCCGCGGCTACTCCTGAAATTACGAGTATTCACAATCTCCACCGAAGAATTCCCACTCGTGGCGAATGGTTCCCGCTGAAAACAGTGAATAACCGGGTCTTGCGCTGGGTTGATGAGCCATCACCAACTCGTCTAGGGAAGCCAAACAACCTATGATAAAATGTATGGGCAGTCCCGCAAACGGTCACCAGCTCCAATGAGCGATGGTGTATTGGTAACTGTGGCTGTGGGAAACCCACCTGAAAGGTATATTATCAGACTGGCTGGAAAATAGTCACAAAAGTTATCGCGGAATCGAGGCACAATCTCATTTCCTATTGGGTTAGACTAGTTTGTCGAAAGCTTGGGGTGAAATCCATCCAGTCAACTTTATACTTCAATTCCGGAGGCCGAGTTGTAAAACAGTGTACAACACTGAAATGAACTTGGAAAATGTGAATTTTCACTCATTCGTCTCAGTTTCTATCTTGAACAGTGTTTGTAACAAGTCAGTTTGGATGGTGTTTGTTTTTTGTGATTGTGAGGTCCTCGAGAAAAGCTACGATTATCATTAAATTGAACGACATAAGGGGTAAGTTGAACAGTCGTCGAATATTATTTACACGCATTCACACACCCTGGAAGGTGACGCCATTGGTGTATCACACCAGATTTATTCATTCTAGACCAAAATCTTTCCTATCGTATCCAGTTCACAGATTTTTCACTTTGCTTTTCCCCATCCACTAATTGTGACCCCCAGGCGTGTTACCAACCGAAGATTTTGCACACATGCATATTCATTTAACTCCAGCTTAGATCATGTACCAATCTATTGATTAATCGAACTATATAGGCAAATACCAGAGATGATATATCGGGAAGAGGTTTTCTCGTGATTCCTTTTTGTTCTTACTCATCGATCGGAAGATTATACGAGATATGTGAAGATTGAAACGATAGACGATTAAGTAAGAGAAACCATTTTATCGTAAAATATTAAGTAAAATAACGAACGGTATATCCTGTCAGTTCCGTGGCATGTCAGTACGGACAAGAGTGGGACGAATTGGCCTCGATCAAAATAACTATTTACGTGTGTGTGGGTGCATTCAATAGTGTGGTGTTGTGGAATCAGACCAAGACGGAATGGTACAACTCTATTGGAGTACCCAACGCCGAAATGAGCAGAACAAGGATAGGGTTCAAAACGAAATAATAAGGATAGCAAATTAAACTCTATAAGGCAAGAACGAAACAGAGAGGAGAAAGGAACAGAACGTGATGAGAGAGAAAAAATGAATTGCTAACAGGATTTTCCGCAGTTTCCGTGCCGCAACCAGTTCTAGCTGATCACTTTTGTATTGATTTTTCCAATCGGATGTGTGACACACGTTGGCAAAATTTCAATCCTATTCGCTGAATCACTCATTGTTTGGCTTTGCTTACGATTCACACACACACACACACACA